ACAAAAACCATCTCCCTCTCCAGAAATGCCACCGTTTGTGGCGGGGGGAGGACCAGTTCAGCCGGCCGCCACCGAACACCGGCGGCGCTTGCTTGTGGGGCAGCGCCGGCTGTTTCTGGCAGTGGGTGCCGTGTGACGGCAAAGGCATTCTCCAAAGAGCTGGGGGTTGTTGCTCCGCAACCGAGGCTGAGGCGAGCAGGTCTTTGTAAAATCGCACATTTCAGATTGTAGGGGGGGTTGTGATGGCTTGTGATGGTTTGAATGGTAGGGAGACCTCATGAGACCTCTCAACCAATGGGGTTTAGTATGTTTTTTTTCCTTGCAAGGGGTGTTTGGAGGTAGGCCCTAGAATACACATACCTCCAAATCTACCTCAAACACCTTCTTAGAAGGTACTTGGAGCCATAGGGATATTAAACCACTTCTTGTGCATCCAATCCCTGTCTGGAGTTCCTGACCTCATTTTACTGGAGTTGATGATACAAAAACCCTACGAACATGAGATACAAAATCAGGTTTGGACCTGGGTTAGACTGGACCTGCAGGGAATATGTTGCGGGGGGTATGGCGCGAGAATGGAACCCCAGGCGTCACAGACTTGGTTGGATTCCAAATCCGGAAACTGCAAAAAACACGAGCAGAATCCCAAAACCATGCGCGACTGGTGCCACTGCCCAAAAACCAGCCCAGAATCGGCCAATGAGAGTCCACTATAGCGTCTCGGTGGCGGCGACGCCTCGCGGCCTGTGGAGTGCGTTTAAGGTGCCTTGGGCAAAGTCCCAGTTACCCACTGCCATTCGCCCAAGCGAGCTCAGAAGGAGCTCAGCGGAAGTTGTACGAAATATGGTGAGGCTCAAAATTTGAAGGTTCAGTGAACTAATTGATTCTTTCAATTAAAGGGAGGGGTCAGCCGAGGCGGGGCGCCCCCCCCCCCTTTTTATTGATTTGGAGCTGTTTCACAAGAGGATGCGAAAAGAAGATACTGGGGGGGGGTTGGATGAGGTGTTGGGATGCAAGTCTAGTCTCTCCCAACCTGAGAGCCAAGCGACGCAGCCGGCGTGGATTCGCTCCTGCTTGCTGAAGTTCGTGTAGAATGTTGTGGCAATGGCCCTCAAATTTTCCCCCTGTTGACTAGACTGACTACGTGAAGCCAGTGGGGTTGACCACCAGTTCTGAGTTCTGGTTTCTTTCACCAGCGGCGTATTTTGAACGCCACGTCAAACGCGCCGTCACACCACGCATTGACAAACACACCACTTCACTAGCGATGGGTCATTTCCTCGAAAGCTCCCCCAGCGATGTAGCTGAGACTGCTGAGACTTGTGAGTACTGTAGTTGGTCGGAACCAATTCTTAGTGGGTGAGGGTGAGGTCTGTTGTTGCATCCTTGGAGGAAGACCGGCCCAAGCAAACGCCGACGCCAACCCCTTCTCCACTGCCCAGGCGATATCATTACAGTACCCTACAAGTCCAAAGACCCAGTAAACCCTGGTCTTTTACCTCCTTAAGTAGTGTTTTTGTATGACCACGTCCAGTCAAATGAGGTCTTTGACCTGTAGGGGTCTTTGTTCGGTGGTCGGTGTCTCGCTTGTGCTTGGGCAGTTGCACTACCCTCAAAGACCGCGGATAGGCTCTGCCCACGCTGGTTCCGGGTCTGCAGGCACACGAGACATGAACGAACAGAAGTCCAGCCGAACGTGTTGGGTCAACGCCGGAGGTTCCCTGAAATATCAGAGCACTTTCATGGTATCGCAAGTTTTTTTGTGGGTTACAAATGGTTACAACACATTATGGGCTACCAGGCTATTGCTATTAGGTTGGAGGCCATCGCTAGTTATTGGTTGGGGCCCATGTCTATTAGGTTGGAGGCCATTGCTCTTGCATTCAGGTTTTTTTCACGCCACAGCTACTTATAAGCAGAACACACATAGAACACATATAGATATATATGATATCCTCTACATACCCCCAGGGAGTCTAAAGCTCAGAAAACGTGGAGGTTGGTTGACCAAAACGGTCCAAAGCCAACCCTAAACCCGTTTTCGGAAAGCCTCGGGAGAGAGCAAGCGTCCGGACTTCGGCCGAGAGCACCGGTGCGCCGGCCTTGGTTCGGCCTCCAAAGCCTTGGTAAAGCCGATAGCATGGCCATATAGGTAATGAAGCTTGCTATATCCGAAGACCTGTGGAATTTTCTGAGAGTTGGGACCTTGATTTTGGTAGATACGATTGCACAAAAAATCATAGCTCAATTATCCACATTCGATGGAAGCAATTGAGGTATTTATTTGGATCTATCTTGGATCTCTTTCCCTACCCCCAAAGTCCTTGCAATGCAAGGTTTCGCTTTAAACACTTCTGCATTCTCTCTCCGCGTTTCTTCTTCAGAGTCTTTCTGGTCGTTCGAAACTTTTTCTTGCTTCTATTGCAACCGGACGCTGGTAATGCAGGGCTCCCCTGCATCACTTGCACCTTCCTGAGCGCAACAATAAACACAATTACTAGGACGTAAGTTTTCTTGACCATCCATTAGACTGGAATAAATTACCCTGACCATCCATTAGACTGGCATATGTTTGACACTGGCGTCATTTTGATGGGGCACATGAATGCACTGTAACTATTCCATTCCCATGGATGGTCTGGGATCATTCGATCCAAACGGAATTTCAGCATAACAGCTCAATTTCTCACCAGTACTGTAGATTCAATGGCAAGCCAAACCGTGCTTACATAGAGAACTGAGATGAAGTGACACCTACCAGAAACAGTCCTTCCCTTCCACTTGATTTGTAGCTCACGGTCCTTCTGAGCATCAGCCACACCGCTCATCACTGGCAACTCATTTGACCCAGGCCCCCCCACCCCCGCGAATGGCGCACCGATCACTGGGTTACTCAGCCGGCATGGTTTGGATCGACAGAGACCGTAGAGAGTGCTCGACAGAGCTCTGTCAAATTTCGGCACCAGCCTTTGAGAGTTTCGGTGGGATTTCGGGCAGCGAGAGAACAGAATGATGAGTACCACCTGAATTTCGGGCTCCTGTCCCACCTTCCGTTCGGTAGGACGTGTTCTCTCATCACACCCAGCCCATCTGAATGTGAAGCTCTTTTGCTAGGGGGACGTGGATGTTCAACTGCACCCGAGTCGTCTCGCCGCAGTCGGCTGGATAGACGACCCGTTCGGCTGGTTCGTGGTTTTTGGCTCACAGCATCAGTTTGGTAGAAGACTTGTTTGAGCAAAGTTTTACACTCAGCCAAAAGAGGCAAGTCGTCTCTCAGGTTTCCAACCCTCAGTGGCCTCTGTAGACCAAGTTGACTGGGTAGCAAGTCGGGCTACTGCGATGCAGGATGAACCTTGAACCAAATGGTCAAACTCCACCTCTTCATCGCTTGAGCTCCGGGCCATCACCTGGTCTGACCCCGTTCCTTCCGATGAAGGCCGTCGAAGAAGGGACCCTGCGGACCCGGCTGCGGACTGCGGACTGGTCATTTCACAAAGCTGCGGTTTCCTAGAAATTCAAGCCAACAGAGGTTGAAGGACCTTATAGACTATCCCATAGGTACCCCAGTAAGGTCCTATAAGTTATAAGGTCACTTAACCTCTCTTGGAGTGGTTTGGTACCAAAGCAGTACAATCTGGATTTTTTCGCGTCGGAGAGAGAGGTGGTTGATTCATTTTCATAAAAGAACCACATTTGCCGCGTAGCGTGCATGTATCCAAACCTACAAGGAGTTTCTTCTTTGTCATGAAGTACCTTGGCGAGGCTGTGGGTCAAATGCTCTCCATCCATGTAGATGCGTGTATGAGTTTCGCGGCTTGAAATTATACCAGAAAAACAACAGCTGTCCAACTGATCTTTCTTTGGCGCTGCCCGTTGTGACGCATAGGGACGCAACGGTCAAGACGTCATGTGAGTCATGTGGGTTCCTGTGAAAATGGAGCAAACCCAACCATCATCCAGCTCAAAGGGGTGGACGCCCTGGGGGGGACCCCTTGAGCAAAGGCCTATGGTGCCACTAGTAAGGCCTTACTAGGTACTCTATACTTAGCATCCACTCAATAACCACTCGCAGCCGCAGTAGCAACCTGGGGAAGCCTTACTAAGCAAATACACCTTCTAGAGGAAGCTGGTAAGGCCTTACTAAGCTCTTACTAAGTCTGTTGTGAAAGCATCAACAAATCACAAAAAACAAGCCAACTTCGCACTAAGCAATTCTCAGGGGGGTACCACCCCTAGGGGGTCCACCCCCCTATAGCTGCATGAAACCAGTGGTTCTTTTGACCTTTGGTTCTACAGGGTGTCTCCCTGCCTGGCCAATGGCCAATGAGAGTGGTCTGTTCGTCGAGTATGGAGTCTGACCGGCAGGTCTACTGTTTCTCCTGACGATTCTATCAGATGGTGCCACAGCACCCAACAAAAACCCTGAGTTATCAGTGTACCCAAGCCAATAGTTTCTGCGTTGGCCAGCGGGGGTTTCTTCCAAAGAATACCTCCAATTTCGCCGTCTTGGGGACGAGTGTGGAATTGTCTTCCTCACCTTCCTCGCCGACCCAGCCCACGTTTGGAACACTTGCATGCAGGCACCAGATTCGATCCTCTTCGGCACCGGGGAATACACCACAGGCCTCACGGCGAGTGGCCAGGCACGGAGTCTCCGGCGAAATCGGCGGGGAAGCGCCCTCCTGGGGATGGCAGGGCCATCCGTTGTTCCAAGTCCATGATGTTTTTGGCTCATTGGCAGAGGATTTTCCTGCGGAAGAGGAGGACAGCATCTGGCTGATGGCATGTTCTTCGTCCGTGGTTTTGGGCGGAACTCCTGAAGCCCCGAAACGATGGTGGCCGGTTAGGAAGCCTTCGCAGCACGAGCATGGATCGGAAGCTATCGATCCGATCTGCGAAAGCCCCGTGACTTAGAGGGCTTTCCCCTTCTTGGGGACTTCAAGCTTCGTTGTTGGTAGTTTACCTTGATGTTGTATCCTGTTGCGATGGAACTGTATTGGTTGATGGAGAGCAAAACTACGCACCACCTGTATGATGCAAAATTGGGGCACCCTCGAACTCATGGGCGGAGGTCCACGAAATGACGACAGAACTCACTGTGCATCACTCAGAGGCTGATGCCTGTCCACTCTCGAAGAGGTCTCGCAGCTGTGCGCCCCACAGCTTGCATCGGAGCACCACCCAAAAAGCGGGGACTGCCCTTGATCTTGGGCTCTCATGTGGCCTTGGGTAGCCCGGAACCCTGGTTTTTTCCGGGAAGGCACAGAATCTACTACCTAGACCTATGACATGGTCCCATCGTTGGGCCGGACTGAGCTCTTGGACTGGGGACCTCGACTCCAGTGGTGTCCTTCTGGGAAGAATAGATGGGTCGGTTTAGGTTTGGTACCATTTATCTCTTGGTTGTACACCAACTAGGGTATCCTCTCTATCAATCAACCAACTCATAGTAAAAGGCCAAGGCCATGACCTCGGCACACGGATCTTCAGGCCAAGTCTGACAAGTCTTTAGGAGTCGCAGGGGATGCCCAGTCGCGATGGACGAGATGGAGGGCGATGAGGGAGTGAATGAGGGGCCCTGGAAGAGTACGATGAGGGGCCCTGGTGTGGTGGTGGTGGTGGTGGTCCCAAAGACGTGCAGGTGCTGACTTGTCAGCGACTTGTGGGGTGGACTCGAGGATTGTGCGTGCCGCCAGAGACTAGAGAATAGCCGTGGACCACATTTGACCTCAAGGTTTGACATTCTTCTTTTTCTTCCACCAATTGCTGGGTTGCGGGGTGGTCCAAGTGGCTGTGCCCTGCGGCCGATCCCAACAACTGGAATTCTGAATCAGTGGACAACCTCAACTTGAACAGGTCACGAAGGCATCAGACCTGATGAATCTGATGCCCCGGATGCAGAGAGGGGGCCAACTTAAAGTCGGAGTCCGACTTGGGGCACCCGCTCCACCCTCCAATCTGTCGCCCTGGCCAGCTGTTTCCGCCACAGATGGCTCAACCGAAAAACTGGAGATGGCCAGTCAAAGCCCAACACTCCAAATTTTTCTGTTCAGAGCAAGGGTTTGGTTGCTCCTTTTGGAGATTCATTCCTTGGTTTGGAGACACTCCGCCCTTTGTAGACCCCCCATGCTCGTTCGACTGCGCGAAAAAGAAACGCTCAGGCTGCGACCTTCGAAGAATCCTCAGACTGTTCCGGTCGTGTAAGGTGGCATTGACCTTCTTCGACCTGAGAACCAAGGGGAAAGTCGGGCCTGGGCCCTGGAGCGCGAAGCGCAGAGGTGAACCCGCTTTCATGTGGTGGTGTGGATGGGATGAGCAGTCTTCGGGAATGGAGTCCCGGACGAACGAAGCGAGAAGCGAGGGACGGACTGAAAGGCAGCCAGAGGGGTGCACTTCGTGGAGTACTGCACTTGGAACGGTTCCGTTTGGCTTCGTGGTGTTGAAATTCGGTCCGAGACTCTTCAGGAACGGACTCATTTGGGCGGGCACGTCTCCGAACTCGCTGGTGAATTCTCATCAAACACTGCCCTGCAGATCTTAAGGATGGAAGGGTGTCTTGCCGGTTTACCGGTTTCGTTGAGGAGATGTATATCGAGAGGTTCTGCCTGACAACCACCCCTTGTTCCAGGTTTGGCAACGCCCTCACCGTTGCCGGGCTTCAACTCCGGTCCTTCCAGGGTCCGACCCTTCGTTCGCAGGGACCGGATCGCACTGGTGGGAACCAATGCCGAGAAGGAACCCAAGATCCAGGAGCACTTCAGGCGCGTGCACGTGCCCAACTGCCCAACGCAGGGGGTCTGGGCCCGTCTGAGTCTGGGTCCAGGGCTAAGTGGCCAAGGCGTGGCCGCAGGCCTAACCACACCGCCCCTTGGCGTGGCCGTTTTGGGCGGAAACCAGCCTTGAACAAGGGGACCAAGGGTTGGAAGTCCGGATTTGAAGTCTCACGACGTGTGGATTTTAGAAGAATGTCCAGAGTTGCACCACTTTGACGCGAGAGGTTTCAAGTTCAAGTATATATCCGGGGTTTGTAGTAGAAACATCGTTTTGGCGTCCTGAGCTGCCTTCTGACCCAACCCAAAGACCAATTGAAACACTGGCAGAGAGTTAGCAATTGATCATGGAATGATGTCTTCCAGATCTTCCAGTACCAGCTGGTGTTCACCATGTAACCCATTGTTTTGGCTTTCTGATCTTTCTGGGCTGTTCCATTTCAGTTCTCAATCCACCAAACTCTGTCTGACAAGACTTGTTCTCTTGAAAACGATGGCTGGACAACCGTCCTTCTAAGGCTCCCACCGGTCACTCCCAGCCTCTGACGCCGCGCTCTTCGGCCGTGCGTGCCCTTCGCCGCCGTAATCTGCCAGGGAGAACTTGACCTTCACGAACATCGGGAGCAAAGAGCCACCCTGCCGAGCAGTTCGATCTCTTTTTCTCCGTTGTTTTTGGCGCTTTTTCCTCGCCGAAGTCGGCGGATCGGGAGCTCGGGGGTTTGGTCGCTAGTTAGGGGTATACGGATGGGTGGAACGGAGCGGTATAGGGATGCTGAAGGCCAGTCTGGAGGATACGTCAGAATTCTTTTTGGTTTAATGAGAGGTGTTTTGGTCCACTTTCTGGGATGGCTTCCAAGCTGCTTGGGGCGGCAAAAGAAGAGTTGACAGTTGGTCAGGCAGCCATAAGAAAGAAGCAGATATCCCCGGAGGGACTCTCAACGCGGGACATGCAACAGTTGGCTACGTCTTGATAGTATCATTGGACAGGCAGACAGAAATCCGTTTTTGCCGTAGTCAACACTTGGTTGTAGTAGATGAAAGCTTTGTCACACGAAGGGGCTTGCATGGTTAGAATATTTCAACTTGAGGTTTGGATCCGGTGTATGAAGGAAGGGAACTGCAAGGACTTTTGCATTGAGAAAAGTGACGGTTGTATTTGCAGCAGAAATATGCATTTAAGAGGTTGAATGTGGAACCCTTGCATTTCAATCGGCCAAAACAAACGAAGGTTCATAAATGAACCACATATACCTTATATGAGCAACCACTTTTATTTAGGCTTTACTAAAGTAGTCTACATGCTTTATTTGCTTGTCTATCATCAGTATTCGCTTGTGAACGAGATAGGGCCCCCACATAAACGAGATGCTTTTGCTTGATGACACTAAAGTAGTCTGAACGAGATAGTGTGATTTGCTACTATTTAAAGTAGTCTGAACGAGGTATTGTGACATGACCTCCTACTTAAGTAGTCTACACGAGATAGGGCCCCCACATAATATATAGTGTATTTGAGCTTAATACCAAATAGATGCCGCTGCACATATATACATATATATATATATACTTATAGAGTAAGAGTTATGCTGCTGCTGCTGATGAAGAATATGAGGATGATAATGATGATGACGAGGATGATAAAACTGCTTGTTATCACCATTCTACTGTATGTTATTCATTTATCTCATCATCATTCTCGTCGTTGACTGTGACGCCCCAAACGTCGGGCCGCCGGACCTCCGGCACTCGCCCCAGGTTTGAGTTCTTTCCGAAGTCCGGACGAGATCCCAAGGCGAGCGGAGCAGCTGATGCGGACCGCGCGAAGGAGCGTCGTTGAACGAGCGTTGAACGGTGCACTCGAGCGCAAGTGGAGCTGCTGCGGTGTTTGGAAGAAGCCCGCACCAGTTTGGCTTGGCGGGGGAGGACGTTGTGGGGAAGAAGCAGTGGAAGCCACCGGCGCGAGCTTGGCCCCAAAGACCATTGGTTCAAGAAAGATAATCTTCCAGGGGCCCGTTTTTCAGTGTCCAAGCCGGCTTGGACATCAGTTTCCAACCGTTTCCATGAGAGGTTGAGAGACCAGAACTAGGACCCTGTAGTGGTACACATAGGGATGGGCTATAAGGCTGTTCACCCTCTCTTGGTTTGTAGTAGGAGGGCGTGGTAAAATGCCTCCACAAGGTCAAGTCTGCTCTTGTGTCGAGCAGAAGGATTTTTTTGGAGTCCGAAAGATCCTTCCGCAGAAGAAAGAACAGGATGTTCCAAGCACCGTGGCACTATAGTCTCGAGTGGAATTCTCAATCGCCGCCCTTACACCGCACGTCCGCACGGGCGGCGTAGGGGACCCGCGCGTCCGCACGGGGTTCCCGCACGGGGACCCGGACTCGTCGTCGGTCACGGCGCCTTTCGGAGGCCTACTTGAGCGCCATCAAAGCTTTTAAGCCGGGCGACCTCTGTACCGTGCTGCTTGGGCCAAGCTGGGCATCGAAGCGAAGAGCTCCGGAGGAGCTTGACTGGAACTCCGATCGACCACGTGCGCGATTTGGGCTTCGGCGGTGTTTGGGGCGATTTGGCACGAACGAAACGATGCCAGTGTTGGTGCCAATGCTGGAACGAGCGAAACCTAATCCACGAACACAGGCAGGGCGCAGTGCCACTCTCTGTGGCAGTGCCACTCTCAAAGCATGATGGGCACTTCTCAAACTGTTGAGCTCAGCTTCGGATTGTGTCGAGTCCCAAAAGGATTTCGACTTGAAGGACATCCCAACCCAGGCAATACCTAGATCCAACTATGCAACATTTATGCCTTTTAGTGTATAAAACCAGCCAACAGGCATACATTTTGCATAGTTGGAAGATCTAGGTATATAATATATATATAATTACCAGAACATCATTATTATCTTTGTGCGATCTGTTTTGGGGTCACTGCTTCTTTGGGATTTGCCACTTGGACAGTGACAAACACTGGACAGATGTTCTCAAGGTTTCAACATCTGGACCTGAACACTAACTATTCGCAAGCAGTCCTATGACAAGTTTCCGTAGTTACTAGGAGCAAGGGGCTCCTGGCATCGCTACTAGGAGTTACTTGCGGTTTCAGTTTTCATCCCATATGGCCCAGAGCTGTGGAGATCAGAGTGAGTGGTTCCTGGTTTGGCAGTTGGGGTCTCAACGGCCGTACTGTTTGCTTCGATGGGCTAGCTCCAATGGTCTTTGAGCCTCTTCCAGGCGTAGCTTAAACACTTGCAATGCTCTCTGGCACCTCTTCAGAGTTGACCTTGTTGTAGTGACCCCAGCGACCCCTCTGACTCTCACTTCCCAGTTCGCTTCGCCGAGGTTCACACCAGATGACACTCACTTCGAGCCTTAACTGTCCAAAACCGGCAGCTGATCACCCTCCGCCGGGGGCGGGGGGGGGGCTCGGAAGCGACAGCACTGGTGGACACCAAGACACATGGACTACCCCTGGACCGGTGAAAGCATCCGTTGGGGCCAGGCGGTTCTGAACTTTCACCGGTGGCAGACCAAGAATTGGAACATGTACCAGGACCCTCCTGTCGGGGTGCCCTGTCTGGAAGCCTATAGGTAGTGCGGGGTAGTCCATTGGACACCCCTTGGAGGGTCCAGGTATGTATACACACCTTTTTACCCTATCAGACTGTATCAGTATGCCAGACGAAATCCCGACTGGAGTGGATGGAGCTTTTCTGTTTGCGTGCCAGTGGGTGCACCACTGGGCTTCTGGAGAGCTTTTCTGCAAGAGGGCTTCCATGTGTTGCAAGGACCGCAGTCTTTGTGCATCTTGGGGCTTCAAAAGCCATTTGACTGGCTGGAAGCGCAAACTCTGGGAGTCTTGTGTCTTGTGGGTCAAGACAGATCCATCTCTGTAAGTGTTTTGCACTGACCTACAGTATCACATCTCATTTCTCCATTGACGAGTGAGAATCGGACCAAAGTTAAAAGAACACCACATACTATAGAGGCTTTCAATTAGATGACAACGGTTTCCCATACAGTTCTTGGAAGGTATGGGGCAATCACCCCCTCTTTCGAAATGGTCTTTGTTGTCCGTTCGCATGTCAAGAACATCCATCGAATTCACTTCGTGTGGCCCCCGGGTTTTTGGTCCGCCCTGCGTTGCGTTGCCAGCAGCATCCGGCCGAGGAGATCTGCAAAGCAGCCTTAGAAGGCGGACTTCACGTCCTGGTGACCGGACGCCCAGTCGCTGATCGGGGGGGCTGGAAAGCATCGCTGATCTGCGGACCGAACGGAGAGAGCGCGGATGCGCGGATGCGCGTCTCGGGCGGGCGTCTGAGCTCACGGCTCGGGAGGAGGAGGTGTTCTTTCCGCGGAGCGAAAGGGCGCAGTTGGGAGCCAACGAACCGTTTCTTTCCTCTCACAGGGGGGGCAGACACCTGATTCCATGGTTCTAGCCAACCCACTCTGCCGGTCTGCCGGTTTTCCTCTTGGTTCGTCCAAGCAGGGTGGACCGGTGGGGCCGTTGGGTCAGTTCCTTAGGACGAAGCCGATGGTGAAGACCTTGGCACAGCACAAAGAGCTGGTGAGTTGGGGATGCCCAGCATGAGCTCGTTTCCTGGGCTTTCAGGATGGCTGAGCTCGTTTCCAGACGCTTTCCCTTCGCGTTTGGAAGAGCAGAGGGTTTCTTTTGGGTCTTTTGGTTCACTCAGATTGGACATACGAGGGGGTCGGGTGTCACCTGAAAAGCTCTGGCCGAAACGAGGGGAGGAAGCTCTAAGTAGGGCGTCTCCTTGCGGCGTTTCCTGGTCGAAGACGAATGGAAGCACTGTTTTGCATGCCTCTTTTTGGTTTCCCTTCCCTCTCCTCGACTCATCAGTTCTATTTTTCATGGATCTACCACCGGTTTGACCACCGGTTCAACCGTGGTTTCGGTTCGACGGCGGTCGGCCCCCCCGATGTCCTGACCAGACGCGGGGGGGGGGTCCAGGGCCCAGGCGTGCCATATGAAGCTCCTCACCTCATCACCTCGGTTTTTTGAGACCTGAACTGCTGGTGCACTCCTGGACTCTTTTCTGGGTGGGTCAAAAGAAGAACGAGCCAAAGAAGAGTTAAAGGCAATACACTCACAGAGCATGGGTTTCGGATGACCATGAGGTGGTGCCATCCGAAGAATATTTGAAAGACCATTCTGATGCTGTTTTCTTTTTTGGGATGTTCACTCGTGTTTTTGATCCAACTCTGAACGTATTCACACCCCGTCCCCCAGTGCATGTTTGTCTGGAGACAGTTATGCAGTGGCTGGGGCATGTTTGCCCGTATTCGAGAGCCTTGAGTCTGCTGTGGGAACACACCAGGTGTGATAAAGGAGCCAAGGGCGACTTCAAAATCCGAGGGATGACAAACCGGCGCACGGGTTGACTCGACCCTTTTCAACATCTCTCAAGCTGGAGTCTTTTGGTTTCGCGGAAGGTCCAAAAAACCCTCCAGACACTGGCAGTCCTGGCACCAGGTATCGCCAAGGCTAAGGGCGTTCTGCTGCAGATCGAGGCGGATTGGTCGGTTCGACCGATGGCGGGGGATTGGACCTGGAAAACCTGCTCGGTCGGTGTCCGGAAAAGCGCAGAAAAGAACGCAGGTCGGTGGTTTGGGTTCTTCTTCACTGACGAAACTGGCCAATCGGATGAACGCAACGGGAAGCAATCAGGGAAGGATCAATACATGTGAATAAGTTAAAGCACCCAACGCAACTTGAAATGCTTGCTCTACCAAGTGGTACGACCACGCTAAACTCGGTCCTTCGTCTGCCCGGTGCCACGCCCGGCGCGCGGGATCGCGCCACGCGAGTGCCACGACCGGCGCCGCAGGACGCACCGGCCGGTCGTCGCGGCAGGTGCACAAGCGCTTCGACCCCATCTACAACGACGCGCGGCAGCGGATTCAGAGCCTGGGCACCTTCGGGTGCGACAGGGGCGCCCGCGAGTCGCAGGACAGGAGGGAGGCGTTTTGGGGGGTTCCGTGGCGGAAGCTAGGGACAGGGGTTGGTGGTTTGGTGGTTGAAGAGGGTGGAGAAGGTGTTGGAATGCAAAGAAGGATTGGAAGTTTCAATGGCGTCTTTCACCCATTTCCGCTGGAACATCCAGGTACTTTACCAGCTTCATGTCGCAGACGGGGGCCCCAGCGCGTCTTGGGGTTGCTCGGGGGGGCACCTCCTGGATAGATTGGATATGACTCATAAGGTGAAAAGTTGGGGGTCCAACCTCAAGCTGCTGCGACCTTTGTATGTGGAGATCTGCCGTGAGCGATTTTTGAGTGGCGAGATGCAGTGGCCAGCTTGTTCCTTTCAATCAGTTCCCTTCTTTGGTGGTTTCGGGGCATACAGGTACCAAGGGCTTGGCTTGACATTTGATCAAGCACTCTTTTTTTTGTCACACCACCAGTTCCACGCTTAACTTCAAGACCCACAGACCCAGAAGAATGCATGACGATCTGACAACCAAAACCCGATAGTCAAGAGATCCACCATAAGACAACGAAAAGCTTGACGGCCAAGAGATTGCTCCCGAGATCAGCGCATGACCAAACCCCATCCCAAAATGCAGCACAGCATTTCATCGAAGCCCACACAGATCCACACAGGACCAAAGAAGTATCTTAAATATGCATATATGACTGAATATTTGTATTTCTTTCATAAAAAACACGTGCGTGCTGGCAACGCATCGCTCTCTTAGCTTAATACAGGAACAGTAGGCGCGAATCGTGGTCGAACTGCAAGGAAGGGGCCCTTTTCCGTAGCAACGCCGTCGTGCCAACCAGGAACAGTGCCTTTCCAGTGTTGGTCACCGCGACCCCCCGAGCTCAACAGGATGCATCGACCAGGGCCTTGGGTGAGGATTTCTTGCCCCGAGCTGTGCCTGGAAGAGTGAAGAAGACCATGCAACTGGTCCGACATCAGGTTGCACCCTCAATCAAGGGAAGTGATCCCTCGACCCGTTCCTCACCTCCAGGCCCAAGATGCAGCTTGAGACCTTCCGCGAGTGGGTGTGGCAGCCCAATTGAAAGACGAGTCGGATGTTGGTCTCTGGCGGGTTCACTCGGTTGGATTCTGGAAGTCCTCAGCAGTTCGCAAGCTCTTCCGCCATGGGTTTTCCTGACACCCTCATCCACTGTTGAATGTATGCTGCACCAGCTGACACCGATGCCCCGACTTCGATGCTACGATTCGCTGTACGAAGGCTCTTTAGGAACACTGGCAAGGTTTGAATGTTTATAGACTCTTAATGTTCTACAATGGCTACTTCAGAGGTATTTATGTTCATTTTCAAGCGATTCTTTGTATGAATCCGTGTGAAAAGAGCTGAAGGATCCTGAAGGTGAAGGATGTCAGTTCTTTCCAGGCCACATTCTCTGTCAGAACACAGCCGGATTTTTCGCTGACCGAGTTTGCTCACATAGAGAATGGGACCAAAGACGAGTTTGTAGGCTCTTGATTCATTAAAAAGCACAATTTGGATTGTAAAACCTCTTATACGTTTATAGACATTATCATATTTCTTTACAGTGGTTTGCGGAGTCAAGGCTCGGTGCGACAGCTTCGCTTTGGTGTTTTTTCGCACACCGCGGCGATCTCACAGAGGGAGTTTGTTTGGGGAAGTTCAATTGGAGAGATCGACGTGGCGTTGGGAAACGCCGGTGGCGTTTGGAAGGGTCCTGCTGCTTCGTCTTTCTGAGTCGCCTCAGAAAGCATTGAACGGCCCGATGCAGTGGTGTTACCCCCCCAAAACCGCCAGAACCCAAAAAACTGAAGACTGCCTGGTAACCAGAAGGGGTCTCCCCCTCTCGGTCCTCAAGCTGTGAGTCCTCTTGGACCTTCGGCCCTTCCTCCTGGTAGACTCAGCTCCTGCGCTCCCAACGCCGACCTCGTCCGTGCCGTGCCTTAAGACTCTTCGTCCAACCGCTTGGGCTCACTGCTGAGCTGCGTCCGACTAGACTAGCTGGGCGTCGTGAACATGGTCGAATCCACTGACCACCAGTAGCCAGTGGCCAGGTCATGGCACCTATAGGGGAAGAACCACCGAAACGCGCATGAACAGATTCCTATCAATTTGGGATGTCCATGGTCAGGTTTTGACTTGCCATGTCAGCCTACGCTGTGCCATGGGACTATCCATACCTCCAAGAGCTGGGCTTGGAGGCGGCTCAGTGGCAAGCGCCGTCGATGAAAGCAACAGGGAGATGAAACAAAGAGGGGAGGGGAGTGTAGCATATATGTTTGGAGTTGTGGCCAGTCGGACAGTCGTTTGGCCGAAAAAAGGCTCGACAAAAAGACGGCTAATACCGCGATGTGGACTGGATCGATCGTTGGTTTTCACTTTGCCAGGTGATCTCTTCAGTTCATGAAGTGATAGTATACGTTAGTTCAATTCAAGATCGGGATTGCTAGAAGAAACCCTGGGTGCCGTCATCGGATCCGGAAGAACTGGCACAGTTTTGGTGGACCACCCGAACCTGTGGGTCCGGGCCTCCGGTGTCATACACCAGAAGCTACTAGTAAAACGATGTAACAAGTGCATCGCTACGTCCGATCGCTCCGGACGAGTCGGTCGCGATGCTGGCGGAGCCCCGTTTCGTAGCGAACCTTGTTACTAGTAATGCCCTTGTTACGAACGTCGCGATGCACTTGTTCCATCTGCATGAGCCATCCGACCCTTCCGAATCCTCCGGCAGATCGCTGCGGCCAGCGCGACGGGCAGCCGCGCCGCTGTCCACGCGCCGCGCGCGCCGGCCGAGCGGAGTCGGAGGCTCGGTCCCGGTGGAGCGACGTCGAGCGAAGTGGGTTCCCGGGGGTCGTTTTCGGGGTCGGTCGTTCACCCGCGGTTCGTTTGGGGCCAGGAGATGTTCGAGTTGGGTTCAGTATCTTGATTTGACCACCCAAACTAGTTGAGATTAGAGGTTTTCTAAACAAGATTGGTACAAGACCCTCTAGATGAACGTAAGTATACCAACTCGGATTTCCACATGAGTCCAGTGCCATGGACCTGGCGATTTTGAGTTCAGTTTATCGGATATCTAGGACCTTCAGCCCCTTTCAGTACCTTCAATTGGGTAGTACTCGTACTACCCTCTATTTTTTAAAGCATCTACTTTCTTGGTGCAGCTTTGTGATGGACCTGTCTCGTTCGTTTTGGGGTCCTAGTTCTTCTCTTTCATGTACTCAGTTTCTTTGATCCTGCCCTCACCCACGCACCCCACGCACCCGGCTCGGCACTTCGGGGCCACTGCGGAAGGCCCGTGGTCACCCGCTTTGCGCCGTCGCCGACGGGCTACCTCCACATCGGCGGCGCGCGCACGGCGCTCTTCAACTACCTGCCGCCCGGCCGACGTTGGACGTGGGGGTGCGGGATGGGCGCGGTCCTTCGAGGGGGGTCTTGTCTTCAGCAGTGGGATTTCGGTGAAGTGGAAGTAGTTTTTGTACTCCAGGTGGTGAATTTGTCAGAATCCTGGTGCAGAGTCCCCAAGGCAAAGAACCACAGATGGGGGGGATGGAGCCTGTGGAGGAGACGGTCTTGGGGCGATGAAGATCTTCTTGATCTGGGAGGCCACCATCGTTTGAGGGTCAACATGTACCACTTCAGTTGTGGACACGGGGAACGTAAAGCCCACTTGTTCCGATGTCAACGACATTTCGTTGGATCCTTGAAGAGCTCAGTACAGTCCGTCTACTGCAGAACCGTGCCACTCGACTCCTTGAACCGCCGGGCCCACCCAACTCCGAGACACGGGGGTGCTCTCTTCGGCTCCCGCGGAGGTTCGCGAAGCATCACGGGGGGCAGTTCCTGATGCGCCGCGCGGAGCGCACGAGAGGGCCGACGGTTCCGACCCGTTTCGACCTGACCGCGCCGGCGGGTGGCGAATGAAGGGACAAGTAGGGAGATATTGCGGGTGTGTGATGCACTTTGTGCGTCATTCCGATCGCCCTTTTGCGTGTCTCTGGAACTCGGGACGGGTGCTGGCACAAACGTTGGACACATCGGTCGCGTCATCGCCCGAACCCGCGATGCGCACCTCCCTCTGCGTCCGCGACCGGGGTGTCGTGCGCAAGACCGCAAGACCTTGCGGCGCCCTCGTGCTGTCCTTCGGGTCGCTATAGACGCCCCACAAAGGAGAGTGCCCTCGACGCTGACACCACGTCCTATAGATGGTTTGTTTGAGCTGGTCACCAAAGACCTCCAAAGGTCGGTTGACATCTGTCGTCTCGGTCGTCCCTACACCCGTTCATCCGAAGGCATCGAAGACACAGATCTGGAGCGGCACAATGAGGCCGCAGTGGATGCGATCCTGCCCCTGGGCAGCCATTGCTGCGATGGGGACGCCGGAGGACACACGGGGACGGTGTATGAAAGGGAGGCCAAGCGCAGGAGAACGTGGAAGTGGAAGAATGCTCAGATTTGGATGATGAACATGGGCTCTACGACCGTTAGTGGTTTGGTTTCACCACTTTTTCTCAGATTTGGGGCTCCGGCACCGGAGCGGCACTCCGGCACGGGAGGGGCACAGATCGGTGGAGGGTGGATCGCTTGTGGGGCCCCTTTCGTTCGGTCGTGGTGCATCGTGTGGTGCTCTTTCCCTCGTTCCACCTGAAGGCCACTGTTGTGGGTGACCTATCCCACGAATTCTTGAAAGTTAGACAAGGAAACACTTGGCGATTTGCAGGGACTGCTCCCCTCAGGACTGGGTTCTTTTGATTGCCTTCGAAGTAGACCTGCAACCTCTTTTTGTTGGCGCTCTGGGTTTTTCTGTCTGGGTCCAACGGCACGCGACGCGCTTGACCGGCGCGACCAGGCAGGGCATGGCCTGGCTGGGAACCCCTCACGACGGGCAGATCGTGCGTCAGCGTGAACGATGCGGAGAGCCGGGCGGGAGCGGAGGGGGGTGGGTGGCGGGAGGTTGGACTGGGGATGGCTTTGTGCAGCTGGTGAATTTTCCAGGTGCCTATTCCAACTTCAAAATGGCACTCAGTCAATGGAATCCAAACAGCCAGAACATTGGCGTATTATTTTTTTTCCCAGTGTAAAAAAGGTTCCTGTGTGTGTTTTGGAGCTGCTGCCAATGCAGGGTGCAGTCCAGAAAAGTTTTTTGCATGTTTTGATCTATGCTGGTGTAATGTTTGCTTCGCAGGACGCCACAAGGAGGTGGCCATGGAGCTGCTGAAGAATGGCGGAGCCACTCAGCGGATGGTCCTGCAGTGGGTGCCCTTCATCCGAGAGGGCGTTGGAAGGTTTCATCCGAACAGAGAGGGTGTGGAGGGTGTGGATGTTGGTCCAAACCAAAGACCCATCTGAAAAGTCAGGTCAAAACGCTTCACCAGAGGGAGTCTGGGACTCTGTTGAACATCAATGCACCCATGCAATCTGCAGTTTGGAACCTTTCGCTCGTGCTTGTGGGGTCAACACCACACTCCCCCTGGCAAGCAGCGTGAGCCGTTACTTCCAGGACAGCTTCGATCCCTATTTCAAGCGCAGTGGCAGTGTGAGGAGAACAGCGGTCAGGGTGCTTATTCTTCACACGGCTTCGAGCATGTCATAGAAGAACCACTTCATTGGAACCAGAGAATCATCTCATGCACCGTTCAACTTGGGGCCCGGAGAAAGCGGGCAGGTTCGCTCGTTGGGATGCTGAGGCCTACAAATGCTACTGTTCCAAGGAGGAGTTGGAAGCCATGCGGCAAGAGGCATTGATCGTCAGAGCGGAGGAGCAAGACCGTGGCAGGGCGACGTAGCGTTCGGAGGAGATGCCAAGACAGGACGACAGAAGCAACAGATACAACCAGAAGGTATCTCTCCAGCTGGATTTCTTGAACACAATGGGTGACTGCGTAGTTCGTGTGCTTACGATCACATGGGGCCAACTGGTAGACATGTGTCGGGGTCCCAACCCAAGCAGAATCATTCCGTGTTCAAACGATTTTAAACAGCGGAATCATTCGTCAGGCCATCCGCTGGTCTTCCAGTGGTCCCGGGACCACTCCGTGACCCGCGTGC